CCCCCCCCCCCCCCCCCCCTCCATATTTTTGAACTAAAGGCGGTAAAATTAAACCCAACCCTTCTCCCCTTCTTTTGAACTAAACACTGCAAAAGTGTCTTCATGAAAATATTTGCTTACTATTTCTTAAACTGAAATTGTCAATTAAATGATTTACAACATTTATAAACTTTTTTCCATGAAATTGCTGTACGATGTGCATATCAGAAACAATGAATCTCATTTTTTTTAATATTCTAATTCACCCTTGCTACTAAAACCTATGAGATTTCACTCAGTTATGAGTAAACCAATGCACATAAGGTATGATAAAACTGACACATGAAAAAACACAGATAGCACAGTACTTTTTGAGGGGCCTGGTCTCCCTCCAATTCCTCACTTGGACATTCTCACCTCACATTCACTTCCTCCATAATATCCTCCTGAGCTTCTAATCGATTTTTCTACCTTGCATTCTTCTACTCATGCCATTTAGGCTGGTAACTACACCCATATAATATTATTTAAATAGTTTCCAACAGTTTCAATATTTGAATCCAGTATAAAATTAGATTAAGCACTTCAATTAATTTGCATATATTTGCTGTTATTCATTATCTTGTTGGGTATATACAGGTAGTTCCAAGTTAGTAATATAATTCTCAAGCAGATGATGAAAGTCATTTTTGTGTTTTGCAAACTTAATATTCTTCTCCCTTTTTCCTTTAATGAAAATTTATAGTTAATTTTGGTGCTTTGTAGTTGCAAGAATTGCTTGAATACATGCCTGGACCCGACTTTCCAACAGGAGGGCTGATTATGGGAAATCTTGGGTGAGTGTATAAAGTATTTGACAGTATTCCCTTTTTAATGAATATTCAACAATATTCTTTTCTTTATATTTATATTTATATATATATTTTATTTTTTTCAATGTTGGCTGTCCATTTTTTCTTATTTGTGTAAATTATACACAATCTAAATGTTAACAGTGGCAGTTTAATCATGAACTAGGTGGTGGGCCTGTGCTTTGCACAGATAAAAATGTAAAAGTGAGAGAAAATGAAACAAAGTAGGAAAAAAAGCAAAAAAAATAAATGTTCGGTCCACAATGCACCATGCGGTGACTTGTGGCAACAGCTGGAAAGACTTTATATTAATAATTTACTGTAGATTACTAACTGGTATGTGCCAAAAGCAAGAGACATGGGGTATGTTTTGGAAATGCTATATGGATTGTTTGATTCACAATCAGTTATTTGCTCCTTCATCTCTTGCACTCTTGAAATTTAGAATGGGAGAATTTTCAATGAAACAAAATGAGCCTTGTTGAAAGTTTGCTACTTCAGTTATGCTATTGAAACATGAAACCTGTAACCCTGTTTGCAATCATTGTTTTTGATGTCAAACATTTGTAACTAATTGTTGTATTGTTCATATCAAATTTTCTATAATATATTTTGTTCTTTTCTTTCCTTTTACCTTTTTGCTTTTCCAAATTTGTTGTACAATGTGATGTGTGGTTTGATATATACTTGTTTTTCTTTAGGATCTTAGAGGCATACCGTACTGGTCGAGGACGTGTTATTATCAGAGGGAAAACTGATATTGAATTGCTTGATTCTAAAACAAAACGGACTGCAATAATAATAAAAGAGGTGACACTCCAGATTCTATTGTACTAAAAAAGAAATACTTGTTTTATTTACTTTGAAAAATTGATTACTGATTATGTTTTGTTTTGTGATTGGAGTAGATTCCTTACCAGACAAACAAAGCATCTTTAGTTGAGAAGATTGCTGAACTTGTAGAAAACAAGGTATTATCATGTTCCTTCAAGAAATTTTCAAAATGTTTTATATTTCAATTTACATTTATCTTCTTGAAGTTGCATGCTCGCTCACTTTTGTGCAAGTGAAATATGATAACTTGCGGTATAGAAGAGTGGTGATTATGGGGTCTTTGGAAACATCTAAAAACTAGACATCTTGGCACTGTCAATTATTAAATTTAAGGTGCTTTATTTATTTATTTATTTATGATATTTTGAGTATCAGGGAAAATCATTGATATCCACTTATGTATATTTATATATAAGAGAAGTCTAAATAAAAAAAGGATAAAACAGGGACATGAGGTACATCCTATGACACCTAAACCATCATCTAGATACAACAAAAAACAACTTCATAAAAGCTGTACAACAAATACTAAAATAGCTATTTTAATACTCCCTCTCAAGCTGGAGTATTTAAATGGTATGCTTCAAGCTTGGAACATATAAATCTGAGGATCTTAAAGATTTAGTGGAAATGTTTGCAAGTTGATCACCGGAGTTGATAAATTTAGTATTAATCTCTTTCGACAATAGCTTCTTTTGAACAAAATGACAGTCAACTTCTATATGTATCAACTTTGAGAAAAGAGAGAATGAAATTTTTTTTGTTGTTATTTCTCTTGCAATGATTGAGTGAATCCAATTGGCTATATATAGTCTTTAGCATCAAATAGAATCCTAACAGTTGAAAGTTGTAACTGCTTATAGTTGCTCATATACAGTTTTATGAATATTCTACTAATAGCTCTCCCTTAAACTTAGGGTGGTTGTGGAGACTCAAGTACTTTGTGTTTGATTTGCAATTCATTGAAGTGAGTAGCAGAAACAGGTTTCGTGATAAAGTCAATTATTTGACACTAGGTGTATGATGAGTGAGGAAAATGAGTGACTTTCTTGCAAAGGAAGTGAAGATCAAGCTCAAGGTGTTTTGTCTTGGCATGAAGTATAAGATTAAGAGAGAGCGCAATAACGTTGAGATTGTCACAATTTATCATAGAAGTACGAGGAATATGCAATTCAGTAAGGACTAAAGCCATAAGACCAAATGAGCAACTAGAGTTTGCTTCTTAGACCACCACGAAACTAAATTGGGGCCAAGGAAGATACAAGACCCTAAGGTGGATCTTAGATCGACTGGATCACTGACCCAATCAACATCACAATATGCACAAATGGAAATAGGACTGTTAGTGGAAGCAGGTTGGAGTAAAAGACCATAGGTTATAAAACCCTTTAGATACTGCAAGATGTGTTTGATAGATTGCCAATGAGATTCCAGAGGTTTTTTCATGAATTGGCAAGCTTTGTTGACATTAAAAGAAATTTTGGGTTAAGTATAAGGTATTGTAGAGTACCTACTATGGATCTTTAATAGTGAGAATCATGGATTGTAGCTGTCCCAACCTTGATCAGATTGGTACTACTAGCCATAAGAGTAGAAATGCCCTTTGCTTCAGGAGCATTTTCACACGAATGAGAAGATCATGAAGATACTTTGATTGAGTCAACAAAAAAGAACCATAACATAAATACATGACTTCAACTTCCAAAAAATAGTCAAACAATTCAAGCTATTTCAAGGTAAATTGTATATTAAGCTTTTTAATGAGATCATTAACTAGGGTGGAAGAGGGTCCATTGATATGAATATCATCAACATAGATGTAGGTAGAGGTAGTTATGTACACAAATAATGAGGAATCACAACAGCTAGCAGCAAAGCCAAGTTGAAGAAAGGTAGATGTAAGTCTATCATACTAGGCTCCGTGGGTTTGTTTGGAGCCCATATATTGCTTTGTGAAGTTGACATACCTTTATCATTAGATTCAAACCTTGGAGGTTGTGTCATGTAAACTTCCTCTTGAAAGTGTCCATCGAGAAAAGTGTTGTTTATGTCAGTTTTATGGATGGACCATTTTCGAGTTAAAGCTAAGGTCAAGATAGCTTGTATATTTACAAGTTTGACTATAAGAGAAAATGTTTTAGTATAATCGGAGCTAGGTTGCTGATGAAATCCCTTGGCCACTAAACAAGTTTTGAACTTGTGAAAAGTACCATTAGGGTTTTCTTAGACCCAAAAAAATCCACTTGCAACCACTAGTTTTGTGGTTAGGAGGCAAAGTAACTAATGACACGTTTGATTTGCTAAAAGAGCTATATATTCATCTTTCATTGTTGCTGACCTGTGTAGGTGAGCAAGAGCTTGCTTCACTGATGTCAGCTCAACATGAGCAATAAGAATTAGAGGTTTGGAGTTTGCGGTCTTGGAGCGAGTAAGCATTTAGAGACGAGTCTGAGTTCGCGAGCTTCTTGAAATTCAAACCGCGAAGGAATTTGAGGACTAACAACAAATTGTTGAAGATGATGAGATTTGATAACAACTTCAACTAGTGTTTTCTAGAAAAGAAAATTCTTGTCTAGTTTGACAGAGATTGTGTGTAAAGTGAATTAGAGCATCGATGGAGTTATCGCCATTGTTGGTGAGGAGCAGAGAAGATTGCACCATGAACATGAGCACATGTTTGAAGGAAAAAAAAAGCTCTAATACTATATCAACTTTGAGAAAAGAGAGAATGAAAATTCTTCATAGATATTCCTCTTGCAATGTGAATGAATACATCAGGCTATATATAGCCTTGAGGACAACCACTTACACCACCATTTCCTCCTCGATATCCATGACCATTACACATGCCCCAACAACTCCAACTAAATATTCACTTTTAGCCTTAGTGGGAACACATAGAAGTCACTTAACCAAGTTGCCCAACAAAGGGATTTCATCACTAGTTAGAATTTGGAGACAAACATGATTAAATTTTGAGTGTAATGTCCACAAAATCATTTTCAAATACAACCTATCAAGTGTTTTCTGTCTTCCCTCCAACGAGTCACCATGTAGGAACATCCTAAGCTCTTCTAGTAGTACTACTTGAGCTTTAGCAACATGAGAAACCATATGATAAGAAAGTCTAATTTATGGTCACCATCATACAAAGATTGAATGTTATTTGCATAGATGCTTTGAGGTTTCTTCCAAAAAGTACAAGTTTTGAAGGTTATGGTGAAAGTTCCTATAATGTTTGGTTCCACATACTGCCACTACATGACACAACTAAAGACCAAGCTTCTTCAATAGAGTCAAACCTTCTACTGATCCTTCAATATCCTTCTTTTCTTGATGATCATGGTACCTTTGACCAAAGAAGCAAAGTTCCACAGAGGCAGCACAAAATAAATAGCTTTTACCATTGATCTTTTTCTATGGTAATGGTAAAAGTCCCTAAAATAGAGATTAGGGCTTGGAGATGCCATATTACAAAAGATAGAGAAGAAGAGGCCAAAGAAAAAGGTTTGAAATATAGTCCTACAACCCAAACACGTGCAAGATGAGAAAACAAAGGTCTGGAATGGATCTAGGAAGCCTACACAAGCATTGTGGTGGTGGCACAATGAAAATTCTGGCGACTTAAAAGTGGTGTGTGTAATTTGTGTGCTTGATAGAGCTACATGAAGAAAATATGCATGTGGGCGTGTGAGCAAGATGGTGCCTTCAAGATTACTTGAGATAAGGAATGCTCTATAGGGTGCACCAAACACTAAGTTTGCTGAAAAAAAGGCTTGTAGTGGATAGCATCGAACGATGGGGGGCACCAGACGACAATATGGAACAACTGAGTAGGAGGGTACTCACTTTGTTACCAAGTTGATATTTTGAGTTGGGGAATTCATGGATTAGTTTGGTTTGGATTTGGGGTAAAATAAAGATTGAACCAATCAATTTTGATTGATTTGGATCAAATATACAACATCTTTTTCTGTAATCTAAATCAAACCAAACAGATCAACTACAAGTTGGTTTAGTATGGATTAATCATTTTTCTTGAGAAAAATAATTGACAAATTTCTATTTTTTAAACATAAAAATATATGATTTCTTCTCAAAATTTAATTATAATAAAAGAGTAATGCAGGAAAATATGAAATCAAAGTAGCCCAACATTTGAAATTGAAGTAGTCTAGCATAGTTGAATAGTGGGTATTGAGTGGGATGGTGTTGGTGAGTGATGGGAGTTGTGGCATAAGACACTAATTATGGTAAGTGTGACAAAATGAGTTGTGTAACTTGTGTTAGGTATGGTAGGAGAGTCTGAGTGTGAGTGACAGAGTGTTGAGGGAGTTGTGTTACTAATTAAGAATAAAATAAAATTATAAAATAATAAAATTTTAATTGGTTTGGATCATCAGATTTGTAAATGCAAATCCAAAATTTGAACAAATTAAGGTGGAGTTTATTTGGTTTGAATTGGATTTGATTTGATCTAGATAAATAACCGAACCAATTTAATTTGTTTGGTTCGGATTGTCAGTTTTATTATATAATCCAAACCAACAGACATCCCTAATTTTGAGTATCAGGGAAAATCAGTGAGTTCTACCTCCACTGATGTATATATTTATATATAAGAGAAGTCTGAATAAAAATATACATAACAGGGAAAAAGGGTACGACCTATGACACATAACACATCATCTAGATACAACAAAAAACAGCTTTAGCTATTTTAACATGTACTATCTACAATTTTGAATTTTTTCTAGTCCATATTTTCAACAATCTCTCTCACTTTTCATTATCATTATCTCTTTGTCTCTCCTTAACTAATGATTCTAATGACCAACGAGCATATTAAGTTTTCTGAATTTAAATAAAATTTTAAACAGATTAAATATGATCTTGTTTGAAAGAGATTTGAACAAAACTAAAGTTGAAGTTAAAATTTGATACGAAATAATTTGAAATGAATTTATATGACTAGTTTATCTTAAAATAATCTGAAATAATTTATGAGAACTAGTTCTTTAATTTTCTCTTAACCAGTTTTGAGAGTTGTTGCTAAATTGCCCAAATGATAATTGAGCCAGTGTTGACTCTTAATGGGCATGTGATTTCCTATTAAATATTTTGGAGTTAATTCTAAATGACTGTTTCTTTAACTTGCATCTAGAATGTGCATTTTATAACCTAATTTTGTTTTTTTTGTTATTTTTTTAACAGAGTTTAGATGGGATAAGTGATATTCGGGATGAGAGTGATCGTTCTGGAATGCGTATTGTCATTGAGGTAGAATACATGAATATGGCTGTGCTCCTGCATAATGTCATTGAATGGACACCTACAAAAACCGAAAAAAATAAAAAATGGAAATAGACTGTTGAGCTGGTCACTATGACTCATCTCTTTTGCTGTGCAGCTGAAGCGAGGATCAGATCCATTGATTGTTTTGAATAATCTTTATCGCCTAACATCTCTGCAGTCTACATTTAGCTGTAACATGGTGGGGTAAGTTAATTGTAGTTTACATGTTTTGATATGGTAAATTTAATAGTTTAAAATGCTCTGATAACTGATACTTCTCATGACAGTTCTGATGATTTTTTGATATTTCCCCCTTATATCTTGGACTTGTATTTTGATAGATAAATTCTTTTGTAATGATTCTGCGCAGACCTCCTTGGAGGCCTATGTGTCTCTTTTACTGGCATAGAACTTGTGTTTTGGATTTGATATTTGTGGAGCAGTTTTGTTTACATGCCAAAGTTCCAGGTTATTCCATTAGACAGAGGCTTGTTTCTTTACCCATGTTGTAAAAAAGATTCATGTATGTGTTATTTCTAGGGGTTTTCATCAAGTTTGGATAATCTGATAAAATTGGTGATTTGAACAAAACCAATTAAATTGGTTCATTTTTTTTCTTGATCGGATGAAATTCGGTCAAAACAAGTAAATCTGACCTTAATTGGTCCAGCTTTTAGATTTACATTTTACAATTTCAATGATCCAAAAACTGAACCAATTAAATTTATATTATTTTATAACTATTTTATTATTTATTAGTAACACATTAGCACAATTGACTCAACACTGACACTTACAAACTCACCTACCATACCTAACGTCACATTAATACAAGTTACACAACTCATTATGTTACACACTTACCATACTTAGCATCACACACTGCTCACCCTCCTCTCACTCATTGACACCGTCTCACCTAGTACTGACTTTTTGACGATATTGGACTATTTTAATTTCAAACTTTGGACTGTGTTCGACTACGTTAATTTAATATTTTCCTACACTACTCTTTTTTATTTATACTTGAATATTATTTACACTCTTTTAATAATAGGTTTATATTTAAATTTTGACATGAAATATTTTTTTAGGTATTTGAAAAGTAGACTTCTGTCATTTATTTTAAGAAAACAGATTAATGCAAACCAAACCAACCTGTTGTTGGTCAATTTGGTTTGGATTGTAGAATTTCTTTTTTGTAAATCCATTTGAAGATACAGTTGTTTATTATATCATTTAAAAAAGGATTGGAGGTTTGTGCACCTAATGAAATATACTATTGTCTTTTAATAATACTCTTAGCCATGATGGTATAAATATGGTGCATACTTGAAAAAGAAAGACTTGCAAAAGCAGAAAATCAATGTTCCAAGTGGGCTTGACAAACATGAAATGTTGGCATAACAGCAGCCACCTGTCAAGGGATGCAGGAGGGATAAATGGGAAAACAGTTATAAACGAAGAGGAATATAAGGGAAAAGGAAAGTTGGAAAGACTTAATGGAAGAGAGAATTCAGAGCGAGAGACTAGGCCTTTCAAAATTCTTGGACCTTATATATTTTCTATTTTCTATTTCAGTTAATACTTTGTAATTTTCTTGTTCTTGTTATTGATGCTGGTATCTCATTAATATCAATTTCAACAAAGAGATATTTACCAAAATGCATATGGCTACTTCTTGCTCTATAATCCCAATTTTATTTATTTTACTATCTTACTGTTTTCTTCTATTTGATTATTTATTTTTGATTTATTTTTTACTCAATTTATTATATACTACATGTCTTAATTTGAACATACATTTTTTTTCTGATTTATTTGTAGCATTCTTAATGGACAACCTAAACAAATGGGGCTGAAGGAATTACTGGAGGTGAGTACATAATTGCTGACCTTAGAAGTTTAATGTGTTCAGTTCATCTATTGAATTGTCGTGTAAACCGCCATGCCGTTACCGCTATAACAGCCACCATATGAAAAATGGTGGACCCACGCCATACAGAGGCCAAACGGCCATAACGGAACGTGGCGGCCGCCACCATACCGCTATGGCACTTCCATAACCGCCATTTAACAACACTGGTCAGACTAGTATGTTTGACCCATATATGCATAACTTGAAAAAAAAAGGCACTTTCATTAATAACATTTGTCACACCAATTACATTTTGTAATCATGCTTTTTAGAGAAAACTACTATCTATAAAATAAGAAAACTATGACTTAAAGATGAAAAAGGAAAAAAATAAAAAGAAATATTGGTAAAAAGTTAAATAAGTGATTGATAGACCCTTAAGATATTTCTATTATTTATATCAACCCCTCAAGTTAATAAACGAATATCAATTATTCCCGACTTGCTTATAAGCTCCTAGAATCTACTAGTAGGAACTAGGAAGCCACTTAGTGAATACATCTGTCATTTGAAATCTTGTAGGAACATGAGTTGTAACAATAGGAACATTGTCTAGTCTTTCTTTGATAAAGTGCTTGTTGATCTCAATATGTTTGGTCCTGTCATGTTGAATTGAATCATGAGCAATGCTAATGGCTGACTTCTTGTCACAAAATAACTTTATAGGGATCTTGAACCTAATTGTGAGATCATTAAGTATAATCTTCATTCATAGTCCTTTGCATATACCTTATGTCATAGCTCTAAACTCAGCTTCTGCACTAGATCGAGCTGCTACATTTTGCTTCTTTCTCCTTCAAGTCATGTATTTACTTTTCATAAGATGTGTGCATGATAATTGGGTACAATCATCATTGAATGGCACAAACATTTTGCGCCTGATATAGATTATAAAATAGGTCCCAATACATCAGAGTGAATTAAATCAAAAGGAGAGTAGCTTTTATTTGTACCAATAGGAATAGAAGCATGTTGATGTTTGGACATCTAATAGAAACCACAATCAAATGACTCAACATACTCTTTGTAAACAAATAAGGAAATAAAGACTTGAGGAGACTAAATGGGGGATGTCCAAGTCTTTAATGATCCCATATTTGGGAGGACATTTAAGTATCTGTATGTTGGTTTAAGGGTACCACCTGGGACTGATCATGAATTTTCAGCTCTAGGAAGTACAACCCACTCTACTCTTTAGCAATTAAAATCATCTTCCTTGTGGGAAGATCTTGAAAGATATTGAGAATGTAAAAATGTTATTGAGTATTGGGAAAAAGTCAAGTTCCACATTGATTAGTGATAAGGTAATCAAAGAGTTTATAAGCAAGGGGCAACCCTTACCTTACAAGCTAATTTTATAGGGTTGAGTTAGGTTTAAACCCATTTTCTAAGATGGTATCAGAGCTTATCCTAGATTCACTATAAAAGGGTCATCTACCATTGATACACATATCAAGTCCAATAGTGTTGCTCGTGAGGTAGTGTATTGAGAAAAACCTAAATCTCACCTATTCTAAATTATTAATAAAAGGGTTATCTACTGTTTATCTAAGCACCAAGCTCAATAATGTTGGGTGTGGGAGAGTATTGGGAAAAACTCAAGTTCCGCATCAGTTAGAGATAAGACAATCAAAGTATTTATAAGTCGATTAGAGACAAGACAATCAAAGTATTTATAAGTGGGAGACAACCCTCACCTTACAAGCTGGTTTTGTAGGGTTGAGTTAGGCCTAACCTTACACACTTTCTAAGATTGAGTGATAAATTTTGACCACTTGCACTTATATGGTTGCTGGTTTTTTTGGTAATCATCTGGTTATACTCATCATGTCTTAGGCAATACACACACATATCGTATAAGTCACAGTCTATTGCCGCAACATTAGGTGTATATATGTACATTTTTTAAAAGGGCCATAGCTGTGACCCTTGTTCTTGCGGCTATTTCTTTTCCATAATCTAAACACCAAATAGCCTTTTGAATTGCATCTTCAAAAAATATTCTAGCCAGCCAGTCTTCCTGATTGTTAGGTATAGTTTGTGACCTGTAATTATTTTTGCACAAGCTGGAAAAAGCAGTAATTTCACCCACTGTTCTCAATATCTAAGTCCCTATTAGTGCCTTTTTTCTTCTGCCTTGAGCCACTGTAGATCTTTAAGCACATTTTAAAAGTGCGTATCTTGTAATTTCTTTTTTTTTTTTTTTGGTTGTTAAGCTTATTTAGTGGCTGTCTTTTAAGTTGGGAGTGTGCTAATTTTTGTTTTTTCCCATTGGCTTAATATTCAGGCATTCTTAGACTTCAGATGCTCTGTTGTTGAGAGACGTGCAAGGTTTAAGTTATCACAAGCACAAGAGAGAAGGCATATTGTTGAGGTATGTCACAAACTCTTTAAGATCCATTTTTGTATGGTTCTTGTCATGTGCTTACTGTAGAACTCATGCATATTCCACTGGTAGAGACGTAGTATTTAACTATTTATAAAATTATTTGTGTTTGTTTGAGTTATAGAGGTACCATCAAAGTGATAGCTATAAAATGAGTATAACACCAAACTTGTATTTTCTCATGTTTAAGCATATTTTGTTTCTTATATTCTTACTTTATGCTTATAGTGATTATTGTAGTTAATAACAGGTAACATCTCCTTGGATTTCTTTAACATGCATTTCTAATATATCACGAAATAGTGGAAGCATCAAAGCTTGAGTTTCTTAAAGTAGTTACTTACATAGTTGCCATGTTATATGATTATATCCTAATTTTTTTCTTCGTGATTTCAATATTCCATAGTTTGCTCACGTGTAAAGCAACTGTTATAAAAGTTTGAAGTTTGAACACTACCTTGGTTCAGGTTTGGCCTTTCAGTGTACGCCTGTAGGCTGAAGACTAAAGCTTAATTGTAATTAGTAGAGAACATGATAAAGGAGTGGAATTTAGCTACCTGAGAGAGGGAGAAAATAAATCAGATACATTTAGGAATGTGTAACAGAGTACAATATATTATTTTCAGTTTTTCAGCCTGTAGCTTGGGACCAGAGATAATTCCTTGTCTGGATGCATTGCCCTTCCTGTATTTTCATCTAATTTTTTTTTGCCAATAATACAATTCACGTTCTTTGTTAAGGATTGCAAGCTATCAAACTTGGCTGGAGATCTTTTTGTTTTTTAATAGAAATGTTTTGCAATAGTTGTTAAAGATACAGGTTTTTCCTTTTGCTGGACTTGGAATAAAGGAACAAGTGAAAATTAGGATAATTGTTCATAAACACTGCTTGTTATGTTGATTGGAAATATCTGATACTTGCTACTTTTATCTTGAAATGTGTTGATGTACTCTTGTTATTAGCTTGGTGAATGGTGACATAACTGTTCATTTGGCTTATCCATATTTTTTGAAAAAAAGATAGATATGCTAAACATCACAATGTGGGGAAGAGATCCTAACTAGGTTAATACCTCACCCTACAACAATCATCTGCAACATATCAAACAATTTATATAACTCTAAAATGAAATGAAAAAACAAGTACAAAAGTATTTGTAGTTCTCACTACGAGAACCGTGTGTAAGACCACTCCTCTCCCTAGAGTAAGACAATACAATACAAGGAGGAATGACAAACCACCAAAAAGAATCGGAATGCCTAAGACCAAACCCAGCTAAGCTAAACAACACAACCATTACCCTCCCTATAAACATGAGAGAATCTAAACCTCATGTTTAATTAACTCAAGCATATTCATCCACTGTACAAGAAAGTGCCAAGGCACTAAAGAGGGATCATGGAATGCCTTGATGTCAAGCAGGGAATTTGACTCCAACCAAAGAGACATCTAGCCTTAATCACGGGCAAGCTAAACTGCACGAATGATTGCCAAAACTTCCGTTTCCAAGGCTGACTTGACTATCATTGACTTCGCAAAACAGCCGAGCAAGTTAGCAGAGCTATATCTAAAGATAACACCCCACAAGCAGCCGAAGAGAAAAAAGCTCCATCTGTATTGCACTTGATCCAAATAGGAGCAAGGGGAGCCAACAAACTTCGACAATGGTTTCTATTTTGCGCAACCTACAGGGCACCAAAAAAGCCTTAAAATAGTTTAAATTCCATAATGTTAGATTTCATAGAGAAAGAAATTAAAGAGCAACAAGAATTAACTAAAGCTAAAATCTTATTTTTCAAAAAATCAAGCTTTGTAGTTGAATTTTTAAATTTTATTTGATTTCTACTATGCCAGATCTCAACAACAAGAAAGGTAAAAGTTGCCAAAAGTACAATATTAGCTAATTTGCTCCATGGTTTGTTAAGGATATCCAAAACATTTCTAACATTCAATCTAATATCAACAATCCTAGATAACCAATCCCAAAGACTTGAGACAAAAGGACATTCAAAACACATATCAGTAGTATTTTCATAGGCATTATAGCAGTGGGAACATATGGAGGTAATGACAACCCCCTTTCTACGAAGAAGATCCTTAGAGGGAAGCTTATCATGTTGAAGTCTCCATAGAAGAGAAGATTTGGAAGGGGGGAGATGATCATTCCAAATTTGTTTAGCGCAATTAAGCTTAAGCTTAGGTTGCCTAATAAAAGAGAAAGCCTCTTTAAAAGATAAATCTCCATTAGAAGAGAGAGACCACTTTAAAGAGACTTCACACTCAAAAGAAGGAAGGACAATGCTAGAGACTTGGTCACAAATCCTATTTTGAAGAAAGGGAGGAAGATGCCAAGAGCCATTTCTAATGAAACAATCCACAATAGATGTCAACTTGGGATGCAAGGAGACATCTATATTAAGAATATCAACAACAGGCATTGAAAGCCACTATCTGTTAAAAAATTAACCTTCTTGTCAATTCCAATTTTCCAAGTAGAATTATCGTTGACAATTGGATACATATCCCGTATACTAGTCCAAATTGTGGAGGCTAGATAATAAACAACATCACCACTTCTCTTATATACTCTACTGGCTAACATAGACGCCTAATCACTATCTTTCTTAACAAAATTCCAATATAGTTTCAACATGTTTTGATTATTGATATCCATAAGGGATCTAACACCAAGTCCACCTTCATCAAAGTTAGAGCAAACAATATGCCAAGGGATAGTAAAAGGTTTAGATCGATAGATTGAGCTAGACCATATAAAATTTTAAAACCAAGACTCAATCAACCTGAGTAAGGAGAGAGGCCATTTATAAACTTGAAAGCTATGAATTAACATGTTTATCCATGGTTATGTGTTTTTGATATTATTTCTTGTGAATTGGTTAAAGAGATTAGAGTGTTGTTATATATATTTATTTTCTTTGTGTATTCATTCTTTACATTCTTTTGTTTTCTCCATTTCCCTCTTGTAGTCTCTCATGTCCTCTTCTTAAGTATCTGAATTTTCTTTTATTTCTGTAGAAATAAAATATGTGTATAGTGTACATATTACGGGGGGTTATTATTTCATTATATATTAGAGATTACTAGATCAATTACCCTTTCCTAGTTTCATTATTTATGTTTTGTTTCTAGAGTGTTTAGGTAAAATGTGTATAGGTTCACTATAAATACAGTTTGCAGTTCCGTGTTTTTCATTGAACAATTCAGCCAAACTAAATCTCTTTACGTTACAAAAAGAAAAAGGAAAAAAGAAATGGATTTGGAAATTTTATTGCTTGAGGATTGAATGAAACTAATTATGGAAGTAAAATTTTTGGTAGAACTTTTTGGTTTGGTTTACGCTTATGTTCTGAACAAACTCAGGGTATTCTAGTTGGGTTTGATAATCTTGATGGAGTGATACACATAATACGTGAAGCTTCAAGTAACTCAGCTGCAGCTGCTGGTTTACGTAATGGTAATCTCCTTATTTTAAGTTTATTTATTGATATTTCTTGATCCACTTAATTTTAATGCAATATATGAAGAAGAGGCTGATTTCATGCATGCTAATACTCTGGTGGAAACTTTTCATTTCATAGAGTTCTACTTGTTATTGAATTAATTGAAATGACATACATGTAATCATTGCTTGAAATTCTTTATCAAATAGCTATCTAATGTGGATAAATAATATCTCTTTGCAGCATTCAATCTCTCTGAGAAACAAGCTGAAGCCCTTTTGGACATTAGCCTAAGAAGACTGTCCCTTCGTGAGGTGCATTATATTGATGCCAATAACTAGACTAGAATAATTGATGTTTTTCTTTATCAAGATTTCTTTAAATATGTATTTGACAAGGGCACAAGTAGAATTACAAACTTTTGCGGTGCAGAGTGGAAACTTTATGGCTGAAAGTAAATCTTTGATGGAACAAATTTCCAAGTTAGAGGAGCTTTTGTCCAGCAGGAAAAATATACTGGAGGTATAGTTTCATTTTTGAATATCTGTCTTTCTCGTTGATAACTTAGTTTTCTTAAAATCTTGATTGCATAGATACTAGTATTACCTAATTGCAGGTTTGGCAATGTGTGAAATTCTATTATTTTCCTTTAAATTATTAATCCTATTTGACGTAGGAAAAAATCATTGGATTAAATCTCAAGCTCTAGAAGGAAAGAGGGAGAAAAAAGAATTGGCAAAGATATATTGTGCATAAGTAAAGGATAGTCTTTCAATTAACATGTGAGGAAATATATACTGGAAAGCTGACTTAATTGCATATACCCCTAACCCGCCTTAATTGCAACCTCTTTGGGCTGCTCTAATTGCAGCATCAAGGTGGTGTATTTATATTTTAGTTCTACATCAACTAGGGATATCATCAATGTAATTTATATGAAGCTTGGGCAATTCTTACTTTTCAAGCTGATATTGTGGGGTTAAGTTAAGCCCTGTTAGTGTATATGGGTTACAACAAAAAGGGAATATTTGTTTGTTAGTCCTTTTTGCTTTTTGCATTCAGTGATATCTTTAGGATATCTTCAGAATCTTAGTGGACAGCTGTCCAGCCACCTCTCTTGTTTTTCTCTCTCCGCTGGTTGCTTTTACAACCGTTTTCTCTCTTTTCTCTCACTGCAATATTTAGGAAGGGTTCCCTATATATTCAGCACTCCTTGTATTCTTTTGCAAGCAACAATGATAATAAAGTTTCACCATTATATTTTACCTCTTGATTTTATCTAACAAGCCCTAATCCAAATTCTAAGATTGTATTAAACCCTAACCTATATGCTTTGTTGGGCCCCATGCATTTCTTTGATCTAGGCCAACTTGTAGATCTGGGCGTGAGGGGGTGTAATTTGTCCCACATTGATAGAGATATGGCTAGTGTGGTCTTCATAAGGCATGGACAATTGTCTTTTTACAAGCCAGTTGGTAGAGTTGAGTTTTGTCCTAGAATCAAATTCTAATAATACAGAATATTGATTTGAAACCCTAAACCCTATACATTGAAAAATAGGTATGTGCAAAAATTTCAAATTGATTTGAACCGATTCAAAACCAATTTGGTCCAGATTCTAAAATCTGCTTGTTTTAAAAAAAATCTGAATCAATTCACTTTGTCAAAATGGTTCGGTTAATTGATCCGGTTTTACAAAGTGTAACAGTTTGGTTCGGTTTTTTGAAAAAATTGATCAATGTATGAGTATAAAGTGGATAACTAGATTGCATTAAATCGATTCAATTTTAAGAGGATCCAATTTTTTTAGAATCTGAACTGATCCAATTTAACATAATGGTTTAGTTAACTGAACCATTTTATAGATCCATTTTTTATTAAATGGATTCAAAAATCCAATCCGTGAACAGTTCTATTGAAAATTATGAGTGAATCAAGTACTGGAGCTAATCAACTAACAAAGACTAATTTTAGACCTAATTTACAGCTATTTGCTGCAGTCTTGATCATAATAGTTGAATGCTTTCATTCTAACATGCGTCAGGTATTTTTATCTATCTTGACTACTAAGTAACTGAATCTAGACTAGGATCCTATCATTCACTGTCAAGCTGAAGCTTCCTGATCTACGATCTTCCTATGAAAAAGTTTACTCAGAAAATACCTTTAAAATATATGGGTACGATTAACAGTAGTTGGAGATAGAACTCAGTCAAATGGGGAATTAAAAATCCTGCATGGGAGACAATGACGCATGGCCAAAAAATTAGAAGATTGCAGGAATGATGCACAATCAGGTGAGCTGTAGACAGATCATGGAGAAATAGAATAAGATAAAGAATCAGACTTTAATTGGTTAAAATTTCCTTTAAACAACTTTAATTGGCTTGATCAACTGTTTATAGTGGAAAAAAGAACACAACAAGCTACTAAAGCACAAAGCTGAACAACCAAATTCTGCAGCAAATTCAATCATTGGAACCAAACATCCTTTTCAGAGTCATGCCTTGGCTTAAAGAAAGGCAGGGGCAGAATAACCCATGTAGGTATAAGCTGATAGCCTGATACATAGCAAATGTTCTTCACTGGTGGGATCACTGTATCCCTTGCAGGAATAAGAACTAAGCACCTGTCAAATAGGAAGGTATGAGTTAAACATGCGCAAGCATACCCATGTAAGGACAACATGCAAATAGACTTAAAAGCTATTGGGAAAAACTCACATCTAACATCAACTGGAGATAAGGCAATTAAAGAGTAGATAAGTGAGAGGACAACTCTTACCTTAAAAGCTAGTTTTGTAGGGTTAAGTTAGACCCATAACCTACATTCTAAGATGGTATCAGAGCTATCTAGATCCATTATAAAAGAGTAATCCACTATTAATCCACATACTAAGCTCAATAGTGTTGGACATGAGGAAGTGTATTAGGAAAAACCCAAGTCCTATCTATCCTAGATTATTAAAATGAGTCTCCCACTATTAATCTAGATATCAAACTCAATAGTACTAGACGTGAGGGGGTATATTGGAAAATTCCAAGTTCTACGTTGACTTTAGATAAGACAATTAAAAAGTATATAAGTAGGGGGTAACTCTTACCTTACAAGACGGTTTTGTAGAGTTGAGTTAGGCCCATAACCCAGGTTCTAGGAGGAACAGTGAAACAACGGATAGAGATAGGATACTGCTGGAGGCAACCTGATCTGTGATAGTTAACAGGGAATATAAACATACTGTCACATAGTTGTAGTTTCTGCAAAAGCCACCTGAATAGGGTTGTGTAAAGCCTCAATGAGAAGCTAAAGCGATTTGATAGGAAAGGAAACACTGTATATTATTGATCTGAGCTTGATACGCAGAACAAAGGTATATAAATGTAAAGATACAATGGGTTCATTTGTGACTGAACACTTGCAGAAAAGCAACAGACTAACATCAATGCTCACAGTAGGATCCTGCACACCCACTCTGAGAAACACTTATTATACTCTATTAGGTTGCAAGTAATGGTCTTGCTGGATTGTTGATGGTGCTATATGGATGCGATGTTGTCAATTTCGTGAAAAATGATAAAATAGTTGAAAAAAAAAAAAGCAATGACAGTTGTTAATGAATGTTTTGGAGACAAAAGTGGCAAGATTTCATGAGAAAATTGAGTAAACAGGGCTTATCCAGACTAGAATGGTTGAATCTACCTGATGTCTTTAAATTTCCCAGGTTCAGTGCTACATGACTGGGTATTAAGTTTAAGCCCAGCTGTGGTGCTGACACAGAATTGTAGTTGAAACCACTGAATGGGAGCAGCTGAGCTGGGAAGAGAGAATGCTTGTGATTGTGGCATAAAAATGGCAACTTGGAAGGGTGTTCCATGCACTGCCATCAGCAGCTGAAATGTATGCTAGAGAGAAGTGCAGTGGACAAAAGATGTCTCTCTAGCTCTGCCTGAAATTCAGGCTGCCTATGGATTGGTACATATAAGTCAGCTGTGGTTTAGGTTGGAAATAGTGGAATATTGTCTGGCAGCAATCAGGATGGGGTACCTCAGCAATGACCGTGAGGCAGTGGTTGGGTTGCTAACTGAAATGAAAAGCATGGTTCCACTAAAAGAAATCAATGTAGGGTTCAACAGATGTTATCACTGTTTACATTGTTTTCAACTTTTTGGACACTAATTGTGTGGAGATTTTCTAGTAATTTATAATAACCTGCAAGCACAAGTTTTTGGGTTTGACTATAATTGCTTATTGCTAAACATTACAGGAGATTTAATGAAATCATAAACTTTTTTTCTTTTTTAAGAACAGTTTTTTCATTGATTCATTAGGAGAACTAATGTTGCTATTTTTAATTTTTCTGGGGATAACCTGTTTGATCACTTTCTCATATTTTAGCTTATAGAACAAGAGGCGATTGAACTGAAAAATAAGTTTGCCAATCCAAGACGTTCACTGTTGGAAGACACAGATAATGGTCAACTTGAAGATATTGATATTATTCCAAATGAAGATATGATATTGGTATGTGGAACTTTTCTTCTATAAACAGGTATTTTAGTGATTATTGTGTTCATGATATTGTCTCACTTGCAGGCTGTTAGTGAAAAAGGTTATTTGAAACGGATGAAGCCAAGCACTTTTAACCTACAAAATCGTGGAACAATCGGAAAATCTGTAGGAAAGCTAAGAGTGAATGATACGATGTCTGATTTTCTTGTTTGTCGTGCACATGATCATGTCCTATATTTCAGGTTCTTTTTTATTGTCTTGAATGAAGTAATTTCTGCCTGTTGAATTTCAGACTGACATTAATGCAGAAGAAAGGCAATGAAGACTCTGGAATAATACTCATTTTTTTAATTATTTTTAGTTTCAAGAAATCTGTACCCCTAGAAAGTAGAAACACAGTGAGCCATGTGTAGAAAGCCCTATTCTTTAGGACAAGTTTCATTGATGTTCAACCCACATTAGATGATCATCCATGATAAATATAACGAGGTGTTTTATTACAACACTCTTCAATATTTTATTATTGGGTGAAATCCCATTTTAACCCCACTAAATAAACTTGATCCACCCTGTTTTAGTGGGACTTTCAGCATGGGGTTTCACTCAGTAATGATTTCAAAAATAGTGTCAAAGCATGTGGTACTACTTTTTTTGGTATACAATGATGACAACAAAGTTTCGAATCTAGGATCTTGTGTATATTACCCCAAACCTCTCATTACTAGGTTTTTCCTAGTGATTCTACATGTGTTGCTACTTGCTAACATTCTATAATATAATTAACAAAAAAATATACATTTTTTCTAATCTTTTGCCATGATGTATGTAAAGCCTGGATTTAGTTTTGTTTTGGTATGCACCTTTCTCTAGAGGATATTGAGCTTGTAAGTAGGTTTGTTCTTTGGCTTGGCTAGCTTATTATAAGCAACTCTTTTTCTAGTAAATGGCATTATGTAGGCTTTGTTCAGAATCACTGTTTTTTTTATTCTTTCCTAATTGTGGTTAATTATTTGTCATGTATTTGAAATTTTTGCATTGCAGCTGATCTAGTTACTTTGAATATGGCATGGCTTTTAAAATTTCAGTGATAAGGGAATAGTATACTCAGCACGTGCCTACAAAATTCCTGAATGTAGCCGGACTGCTGCTGGCACACCACTTGTTCATGTATTTCTTTGTCCTTTCTCTTTCTCTGCACATTGCCAGAAAAATCGATTCACAACCATTGTCTGTGGTCATGCAACTGAAAGTTTGGACAGAATGCTAGTAGAAATAATTAAAATTACCAAGCTGTCTTCACTGTAATATATATTCATATGTATCTATTCTAACAATAAACAAATTTATATATTTAAATGTATTACAACATTAAAGTAAGTTATTAAAATGTAGTGCAAACTATTTTCTGTGTTGGAAATTCTATCAGATTAATCTATGTTGTCAGAACACCACAGTAACTTTAATTATTGCTTGAAGGCTTCTCTTAAATAAAAATTGGGTATGAATTTTTTAAAAATATTTTGATTTTATATTTACACTGAACTGTTCTATTTAAATTTTTAATGCTGGGACAAGGACCAAAATCAAGTTGCTTAAAATAATATTCTTCTTTTCTTGTTTCATCTGAGCCAGATCTTATCTTTATCTGATGGCGAAAGAATAACATCTATTATTCCTGTGAGTGAGTTTGCTGAGGATCAGTTTCTGGTGATGCTTACAATGCAAGGCTATATCAAGAGAGTATCCTTGAATTTGTTTTCATCAATCAGGTCAACCGGAATCATTGCTATTCAGTTGGTTTGTTCTCTTGTTTGAATTCTCTCTGTTTACATTGTTATTTTTCCATTGTATTGTCCTTTTAGATTGCTGTTAACATCTTTTTCTGAGTGGTGTTCATGCACACTGTTTAAATTTTAAGGTTCCTGGAGATGAGCTGAAATGGGTCCGTCTTTGTACAAATGACGACTTTGTGGCCATGGCTTCACACAATGGAATGGTCATGCTGAGCCAATGCAGCAAGGCATGTTGCTGTCTCTCTTTCTATTTATTTAGTTGAAGTATAAATTTCAAATTCTGTAAATATTTAAATATAAGTTACTTAAATCACTATATCTGTGAAGTAATTCATTGAAAATAAAAGCTTTGAAGTTTACTGCTATGGTGTAATATCTTATGAATAACTTGGTGCTGCAAACAGTTTTAGATTTTCCGCTCTTCTAAATAATTTGATTTTGACATTTTTGAATTATGAGTTAGAGTGACTTGATTTAATTTGATTGAATTTTCTTGGGAGGTTAACTCGCAGCCTCGTGGATTTATAATCATTGTACAATTGAATCTTTATAATTCAGGAGATCTAATTCAGAGGTATTTACAGTAGTTTTTCTAATAAAAAATGCACAGGAGATCAAATCCTAATGAATAAGGAAATATGTGAATTAAGAAGAATCAAGAACGTCAAAATAAACTGCTGAAATTATTAATATTACTGAAACATTTTCGTAGCTAGTTGCCATAATGCATGCTTGTAATTTTTTTTGACACTAATGTATTGGTTTAAGCTCAGATTCGCACACTAAGTAGAAATACACGGGGGGCACTTGCAATGAGGCTCAGAGAAGGGGATAGGATGGCAAGTGTGGACATTATTCCTGAAGCCATGTGGAACAACTTGGAAACCCCGTCAAAATTTCATGGGAGCAAGTAATAATGACGAGATCCTGCATACTGTTTCTGTTAGTGAAATGATAGCTGTCAGAATTATGTCTCACATCCGTTGTTTTGCCTACATGTCTGGCTTTAAGCATGATCTGATTGAGAACATTGTCCTAGAAGTCTAGAACTGTGTAGTTGTCTAGGAATCATGTTCATACCAGCTTATAAGTACAAATTACCGTGTTTCCTTATTGAGAACATTCAGAATACAAACAAAATAATAGATTTAGTTTCTTCATGTGTTTTTGAGTATGCATCTTATCTTTTCTAAAATTTGTTTCAGTAATATTGGTGTGTTTGTTTGAATTCCTTGAACATGCATTGAATTTTGCCCTGAACAACCATATTTAAATTATAATAGAATGTTTTAGTTTTGAAATTGTGCTTTGAGGATTCTAGTCGGCTTGAATAGGCTTTATATATATTATACTAAAAAAAGGTTAAGATCTATTTCTTTGCTTATTTATATATATTTTTGGCCTTTATGATGATATTTTTATCTATAAATAATTTTTTTTGTTATAAATTATAATTAAAGATATTTCATCTACTTTTATTCTGTCTTTAGCTCTCGAATATGACTCCAGATGCACTGATTGAAGAGTTTGTACATTGTTGTGATGACTAATTGTCTTGTGAAGGCAATATATGATCAATTTATCACAGATAAGTCCTTAATATATATTTACTATATTCCCACAGTGCAAATGGCCCATGGTTGTTGTTCGTGTCTGAGAATGGTTTTGGAAAGCGAGTTCCTTTAAGAAGTTTCAAGATATCATCTTTGAATCGAGTTGGTTTAATAGGATACAAGGTATTTTTGGTTTTTATCTTAGAAAATTGCCTCTCTTGACAATAATAGAAGTTTCTTTTTTCATTTTAAATGTTGTGTCATTTTGTCAATCTGTCCTATGCATTCAGTTTTCTGCTGAGGATCGCCTGGCTGCTGTTTTTGTGGTAGGATTCTCATTAGCAGGTATTTTCTCAATGTTACTCTTTGTTTAACAGTGATATCCTCAGTTACATACAGTTCTGATTACCGGTACTAATTTTTCTGTTGACATTATTATGATATAAATTGTTCTAGTCAATGTAATATTTTATTGTAAAATATCTTTATATCTATCAGAGGATGGTGAAAGTGATGAACAAGTGGTTCTTGTCAGTCAAAGTGGCACAGTCAACAGAATTAAGGTTCGGGATATTTCAATACAATCTCGATTTGCAAGGTAAATTTGAATTGTATCCTATAAACATATGTATAACTTAATTGATTTCTGAATCATTATGGCTATAAGTCTATGACTTGGGCGTTAGATAATAGTAGAATTACCTGAAATTAACCTTCTAGGGGATATCTTGCTCAGCATTATAAATTTAAGTACATAATACTACGAGGTCTTGTTGGTTTGTTTGTATTGCAGTACTCTGTCACTGCTTCTCCTTGTTGATTAGTCTGTGTCAAGGGACCTCATCCCAGCTTTGGATATTGTTTTGGATGAAGGATAAGTAGTCCCACAGCTTTTGTGAAATATTCGGCAAACCTCAATTGTTGATGAATTTTTTCGATAAACTTTTTGGCATCTTTTCCAATGAACTTTAGGTGACCTTCAACCCCTAATGACTTTACCAGTGAACTTCATGCAGGTTTCCAGCAATGTTTTCCAGTGACATTTAAGTATCATTGTACCTTCATTCTAGATAGTCCCCTAATTACCCCTTTTATGTGATCTTATAGAAATTTTGAGCTGTCAGTTTTTAGCTGCGTAAATCTCCACCTGCCACCAAGTTCTCAGCTGTGTATTGCTTCAGTTTTTTATGGACATGTATGTTCTTGTTCTTATAAGTCTCCAACTGCCACCGTATGTGGTGGATCTCATTATATTTGTCTTTCTTCCCCCCTAAAGGGCTAATCCATACCAAACTTGAAGCTTAGTAAGATTTAGCATGAAGATCGGTGTGAGGATATCAACACACTATTCATGTATTGATTAAAACATTTTTGTTTTTATTGTATCTGTTGCAGTGTTGTTAAATAGCCGCTGTAGCAGTGCTATACTGCTTTTTCATTGCAGAATTCCTCAGATCTGCAATCACTATTCTGTCTGGCGTCTGCAATGGTGTCGTGATTGTGGCATGCATCCTACATCCTCTTATAATCTAGAATTAAGTCCTGCATTAACTCTATAACTTACAAGTGAAATGGTACACTTATTTCTATAAACCAGATGCTATAATATATTGGACTTAGTAATGACTACGCTGACAAATTTATTGTCTTTCCGTAGACATCATCTCTGGACACCTCATAGCAGGAGCTTTATAGCACCAGACTGCCCTTACTTTCCTTTATTTATTTTTATTTATTTATCTTGGTTGAAACTTAAAACGTGCTGACATAATGTCATTTGTTTGATTCCTGCTATTGGGTTGCTTGTTTAATGACATGTTTGATTAATTTGCCAGGGGAGTTATCTTGATGCGGCTTGATCATGCTGGGAAGATTCAGTCTGCTTCATTGATCTCAGCATCGGAATGTGCTCCTGAGGAGGAAGTTCTTGCTATTGGTCAAGGCTAGAAGAGGTTATTTGATCAACTGCTTGACAATCTGAGTTATGGTTTATCCCTTGATGAAATGCTGCTGCTTGATCCTTGAATCTGTGCTTGGTGATGATTCCTAGTTTTCCTCGTTCTCCGTTAATATTTTGTATTTTGGGAGGAGGGCGAATTACCTAAAGTCTGTAATTTAATTTTTGACGGCATGTAAATTATGTGACTGAACGAGTGAATAACATACACCCGAGAGATAGTTAATGTGGTGCAAAATTTTAAACAACTCTACATTTTGTAACAGTAACATTATAGAAAAGCTAACCATTATGAAGGTATGAGTTACACCTCTGCTTGAGAATCTTCTATTTGCAATTTTACGTGAACAGTCATGTTCTGACAAAAAATGGTAGTTGCTCGTCCAGAAACTGCAATAGCTCAGCTTATAATAACAAACATTTGTAAAAAAGAAAGGACAATAACAATTTAATCCAATTTAAATTATAGCGCAATTCAAATAAATTACAATCAAAGTTTCGAAACTCAGCTCGATTCAGCCTGTAGAACTGGTCCAATTGGAAATTGGACATGTCACAAGTTGGTTAAAATCTTAATTTAGTTCCTTATAATAATTTAAAGTTTTAATTTAGTCTTACTTTAATTTTTGATTTTAATTTAGTCCTAAATAATTTAAATTACTGTAATGTGAGGTTTTCGTCTAAATTTCTTAAGTGTCGTTTGGGATTTTCTACGTGAAAAATAAATAAAATAGTGATTAGTGTCATTTGAGATTTTTTACGTGAAAAATAAATAAAATAGTGATTATTTAGTTTATTTGCAACGTGGTGGATTTTTAACGTGGATGAAGGCATTGGTTTCCCAAAATCTCGAGAGAGAAGTCTTGTTGGTCTATTCATTTACATGAGATAGAGTTGTTCTTAGGTTTTGGAAGAAGTCGCATGCATTGATGATTGATTTGAAGAAGAAGTTGCGTTTGAGTGTTGTTCTAATTGACTAAGTATTGACTTTAGGGTTTTCTGGTTTCATGTTTGATTGAAGGGTCTTATTGGGGTGATTCTAGAGATAGGGGTAAGAGTGGACTTGGGGTATGAGTTGCGTTTTGATGTTTATTGGATAGATTTTGCTTTTGGTGTGGTCCCAAAGAATTGATTCGTGGCAATTTGTGGTGTATTTTGGTTACTGTAGGAACATTTGATGTTGTTGTGTGGCCCCAAAAAATGTTATTGTGTGCTGTGCATATATTGGCCCCATTTAGTTGTACATTGTTGACCCATGTATACATGCATCTGTTGGCTCAGTGATACAATGATACATTGGTCCTAATTTATTTGCATATGTTGGTCCATTAATGTTCCTTTTTTTACTATATTGGCCCATTGGAGTTTTGGTTGTTATGTATGCATATATTATGTTATGAATGTGTTATAAATATTTAATTGTTTATATTAATTAATTACGTTTGTCTTATTTTTTAAATAAATCTTTTTATATAATTGCAAATATACATTACAATAGGTTAATATTAAAATATGGGTGTTTTGGATTTTTATAGGAGTTGCCTGATATGGATGAGTATTTTGAGGTAGTTGTCCATCATGGGGGAAAGTTTGTAAATAGAGGGAAGTTAGATTATGTGGGTCATGATTCCACATGGTCTTGTGAGCTTGATAGATGGTCTTATTATGAAATTTTGAATATTTTAAAGGAAATGGGATATATTATAGTGGATAAGATGTGGTATTTTGTGGGTGGGGCAAATTTTTGAGAATGAGTTGAAATTGTTGTTTGATGATAAGGGGGCCATGGAAATGATAAGGATAACAAGAAAGTTCGGTCGAACATCCAACATCTGAACCTGAAATTATACAAAGTTTACCATCACCTATTGTTGTAAGAAATGATAGGCATGTGCCTAGTGATAGTGGCTTGAAAATGATGGGCTTATGACAAATGAGAGTGGGAAGGGTCATGTAGTTATTGATGACAGTGGGCCTGGGCCTTTTGTTGATGATGGGAGTGTGCCAAAGGGTGGTGTTGCTGATGAGAGTGTGCTAGAGGGTGGTGTTGCTAATGAGAGTGTGTTAGAGGGTGGTGTTGCTGATGAGAGTGTGCCATAGGTTGGTGTTACTGATGAGTGTGGGGTTAGGGCTGAGAGTGGGCCTGAGGTTGTTGTTGCTGATGAGAGTGTGCCAAATGGTGGTGTTGTTGATGAGTGTGGGGCTAGGGTTAAGAGTTGGCCTGAGACTGTTGTTGCTGACAAACAAAGTGAAGATAGTTATTGCAGTTATCCTTCAGTACATTTGGGTGATACCGATGAAGAAGAAATTCCAGATATTGAATTATTTGAGGTACCTGTTAAACCTAGACATAATGCTTTAGTTGATAGGTTTGAAGGACCTTTGGAAGTAAGACATGTACAAGTTACTAATAGTGGTGAGTTAGATATATTGAATCATTTTGAAATTGTTGTCCCTGAACAAGTACTTGAACAAGTACCTGAACAACAACCTAGTTGTAGTAGTAAGAAGAGAGGTAGGCTTAAGAAGACTATTGAGCTTACTATAGACCCTACAACTTGTGCCAGTTACACATTTATTTATGATCAGCAAAAGGTATAATTTTATTTTTAATTGATATTTTAGTTGAGAATTAGTATATTTATTGATTCTGTATGTTATATTTATTTTGTAGGGGTTGCTGCCAGCAATCAATGAATTGTTGCCTGGTGTAAATTAGAGGTTTTGTGTTAGACACCTCTACAATAATTTTAGGAGGAAGTTTCTTGGGAAAAAATTAAAGGAATTGATGTGGAAGGCAGCTACAACCACATATCCTCAAGCATGGGAAAGAGAAATGCATGAGATTAAAAAAGTGGATGTTGAAGCATTCAAACATTTAATTCAAATTCCCCCTAGGTATGCTATGTTTCATAACTTGAAGTTTATGCCTTAATTCAAATATTTATTTATCTTTTATTACTTTCAGGTATTGGAGGAAGTCAAGGTTCAAGCCGAATCCTAAATGTGATATGTTGGCTAACAACATGAGTGAGTGTTTTAGCTCAATCAATGTTGAGGCTAGAGGAAAGTCTATTGTTACCATGTTAGAAGACATCCGATTGTAGTTGATGGACAAATGGGCTAAAAACAGGAAAAACATCCTATTACATCATGGAGATATTCTTCCTAAAATACTTAAGAAGATTGAAAAGGAAAATAATTTCAGTAAATGGTGGATACCAAGGTATATTTCACAGAATTTTAATTTTTTAAATTAACCCATTTTTGGTTTATAATTAGTTAACATATTGTTTTCAGTTGGGCTGGAGAGCAAGTTTTTGAGGTCAAAAATGTCAACTTGATAGGAGATAAATATACTATCAACTTGCAAATCCAGGAATACAACTGTAGAAAATGAATGTTGACAGGGTTGCCCTGCTGCCATGCTATCTCATGTATGAGGTATATGAATTTGGATCCAAAGGAGTTTGTGCTAGAATATTACAAGAGGGAGACATATGAAGTTGTATATCAATCAATGATATATCCAGTAAATGACCAACAACTGTGGACCTAGACATGGTACACTGATATTCTTCCATGGCCATGTAAGAAAATGCCAAGACACCCTAAGAAACGAAGAAATTTGGAGCCATGGGAACTGAAGAAGGATGACACTCAATTAAAAAGGAGTGGATATAGGAGAAAGTGCAGTAGGTGCAAGAGTTTTGGGCATAACGAATCTACTTCTATGGAAAACCCAAGCAATACTCCAATACCAAATGAAACACCTCAGCCCACCCAACCATCTCAACCCACCTAGCCATCTCAACCCACCCAACCCTCTGAACCCACCCAACCCTCTTAGCTCACCCAACCCTCTGAATCCACCCAACAATCTAAGCCGACCCAACCCTTTCAACCCATCCAACCCTCTCATCCTACCCAACCATCTCAAACATCTAAGGAAAAGAAATCAACAAAGTCATCTCAGCCAAAGAACAATTTTAGGGAGAAGTTGAAGCCTAGGAAAGCACGACCACACTGGAAACCATGACAAAGTTCAAGATTGTTGTTTGTTGGTGTTTTTTTAAATAGATAGTATTTTGTGGTTAGACTTTATTGGTGATTTATGATGTAATAAACTTTTTAGATAATGTTGTGTATGACAATATTAAGTGTTAATGATATGACAATATTTTATTTTATGAGACTATTATGTATGACATGACGTATGACAATATTAAGTAAATCTGGTAAAAAATATGCTAAGTCGAAGCTATGAGAATCACGCCCGTGATTCCCATGGTGTGAGTCTCATAAAAAACATGTTTAGTAAGAACCCTGGGAATCATGCCCGTGATTGTCAATCATGCCCGTGATTCCCACTGCCTTAGTCACGTCAAAAAAATGTTATGAATCTTCGCGAGAATCATGCCCGTGATTCTGAATCACGCCCATGATTCCCACGGCCTGCGTGACTTGAATACAATGCTATGAATCAGCGCGAGAATCACGCCCGTGATTCCCACGGCCTGTGACTTGAATACAATGCTATGGATTAGCATGAGAATCACGCCCGTGATTCTCACGCGTGAGTGACATGAATACCATGCTATGAATCAGCACGAGAATCACGCCCGTCATTCGTCCCAACAACCCTTAAACCCTAGCTTGCTCCTATAAATACACAACCCATGACTTTTAAACTTCATTCTCCCCTTCATAACATATTCTCACATCCTCTTATATGAAACCCTAACCCACTAAAACCCAAACCCTTGCAATGGCCCCAAAGCGAACTTGTACATCTCATGGGTCATCTTTTGCCAATCCCGCACCTGAGTTGGAAGACATGGAAGTACCTGTTGTTCCGTCTATAGTTTCGAGACAATGAGCAACGGGATAGGTGTCAAACTCTCAGTACTCGTACAATAACTGCAACAAGGTATCTTAATTTTCAATTTTTGCGCAATTAGGGTTACATGTTGACATCAATTTTATGTTGACAAACATTGGGTGGAGTAATTTTGCGACCATCCATGTTGAAAAGGTTTATCCAAGGGCTGTTCTTGAGTTTCTTAGTTTTCTCCACACTAAAATTTTGACTAGGGCAAATTGTGGACCAGGATTGATTTCCTTTAGACTTTTTAATATAGAGCATCATCTTAATTTGGAGGAATTCAATGCTATCTTTGGATTTCAAACTGAAGGGGAAAAAAGAAACCCAAGATCATTTAATCCATACATGTTTTGGGGGGCTGTAACAGGTCATAGACAATGGTTGGCTGGTAAATGCAATCCGTCTTCATTTCGCCACCCTGCCATTAGAATAATTATG